AACTTCTAGTTTTCAAAAATTTGTCACAGATAAATTTTGTTGTATATATTCTTTGTTTTCCTGGAAAGTAAAATGGAGTGACAAATCAAATTCACAGAATAAGTGAAATTCAAATTCGAAGGAAAAATTAACTCCATAGCCAATATTATAATCTGGGAAAAATAGTATTCAACAAATAAAATTTTTAGTCTCCTCCAAAATTATATAATATTGATATTTTTGAAATTATGTAACCATGTTAATGTGGGTTCATTACAACATTTTCTTAGTTTAGTGACATTTGAAAGTATCACAAAATTATTCTTCTAATGACATTTTTTGGTCTTGTGACATTTTGAACAAGTGCCACTTCTATCGGTGCCACGGTAGATACGAGTGCCACGGTAGATACTTGCAAGTGCCACTGCACCATCATGGCTGAAAACTTTCAATGACATTTTAATGTCATGGTAGATATTATTTGTGGCACTATCAAGCGCCATTAAAAAAAGAGTTAGTGACACTTGTAAGTGTCATTACACCATCAAGATTAAAACCTTTTAGTGACACTTTAATGTCATGGTAGGTACTATTTATCAAGTGTCATTCATGACAATAATTCGTTGTAGAACAATTTGATCCGTTCTTGCGGAGACTCGAACCGCCAACCTTCCGCACCATAAACCTTATACACCACACTCTTCCCACTATACTTCTATAGCACCACATGATTATATATGCAACATATATTATTTATATAGTACATACAACCATATTAATATAAAAGTATATGTATAAACATAATTATTTTATTGAACATAATTTGTAAAATAAACTATTTACTACCAAAATAAAAAAAAAAGACTACTTTTGGCGACTAAAAATATTTTTTAGTCGCTAATTCTATACTTTTGGCTACTAATTGTTTTTAGTTGCTAAAAAACTTAACTTTTATCGACCAAAATCGGATTTGGTCGCCGAAGATGCACTTTCAGCTACCAAAATTTTGGTCACCAAAAAATTTTATTCCCGCCTTACGATTTTAGATCTTCTGCGCTAAAAATGACCACTCTTGGCTACTAAGCTTATTTTTTAGTCGCCAATTGTAGACTTTTGGCTACTAATTTTTTTTTGGCACCAAAAAACTTTACTTTTGGCTACTAAAATTTTTTTAGCCAGTAAAACCCATATAATCAGCGACCAAACTTATTTTTAGTCGCCAATTGTAGACTTTTGGCTACTAAAATTTTTTTTGGCACCCAAAAGCTTTACTTTTGGCTACTAAAATTTTTTTAGCCAGTAAAACCCATATAATCAGCGACCAAACTTATTTTTAGTCGCCAATTGTAGACTTTTGGCTACTTAAATTGTTTAGTCGCCAAAAAGCTTTACTTTTGGCAACTAATGCTGTTTTGGTCGCTGAAAGCTATACTTTCAGCGACCAAATTTTTTTGGTTAGGAAATTTAGTCACCGAATATGCTTTTTCCTATAGTGTATATTGAGTTTAATTCATTTATTTTTAATCATGTACTGCATTTTAAAAATTTAGAAAATTTATTTTTAATCATTTACTGCAGTTTAAAAATTTAGAAAATATATTGGCATTTTTTGTTTTTTCAAAAATGTCATTATAAGCTTGGAAAGTTTTTGACTTAGTGGCATTTCTCAAAATGCTATAAAATATTTGTTTATGACACTTTTCACCTAAGGGCCATAAAAAGTAATTTGCATCTACCTAGTGTCCTGACATTTTTTTAAAAATGCCATTGCAAATATTCATAAAAAGTTTTTGTAGTGACATTTTTGTTGTAGTGAAGTGACACTTTTTTTAATTGAAATGCCACTAGAGCCTTGTATGTTTGTGGCTCTATGACATTTTTCTAAAAAATGCCACCAAATATTCTTTGTGACATTTTTAAGAACATGCCACTAGTATGGTGTCACTAAAATATGTTTTTGTTGTAGTGTAATATTATTTTTGTGGCATTTTCTAAAAACATGCCACTAGTATAGTGTCACTAAAGTGTGTTTTTGTTATAGTTTTGTGACACTTGTTCATTGAAATGTCACTAGAGCCTTTTATGTTTGTCGTTTTGTGGCATTTTTCAAAAACGTGCCACTAAATATCATTTTTTGTGGCATTTTCTAAAAATATGCCACTAGTGTAGTGCCACTAAAGTATGTTTTTGTTGTAGTTTTGTGACACTTGTTCATTGAAATGTCACTAGAGCCTTTTATGTTTGTCGTTTTGTGGCATTTTTCAAAAACCTGCCACTAAATATCATTTTTTGTGGTATTTTCTCAAAAATATGCTACTAGTATAATGCCATTAAAATATGTTTTTGTTGTAGTGGTTTAGCTGATTATGGGCTAATTAGCTTGGTGGGTCCTTTGTATAAGATTCTATCCAAATTGCTATTCTCCCAGTTGAAGGTAATGCTACCTCAAATTATTAGTAAAAACCAATCAGCATATTCCTAGGAGGTAGGAATATATTAGATGGTGTGTTGGTGACTAATGAGGTTGGGGAAGGATGGAAGAAATCTAGAATTAAGGGCCTGATCGTAAAGCTGGATTTTGAGAAGCCCTATGACTTAGTGAATTGGGCCTTTTGTTTTCAATGCTATCAAATTTCGATTTCGGTGTAATGTGGCTTGAATGGATGAAGGAATGTATTACTTTAGCTAGACTTTTTGTGCTTGTCAATGGATCTCCAACAGGTGAATTTAATCCACAAAGAGGCCTTAGACAAGGTGACCCATTGTCCCTTTTTTTGTTCAACATAGCAGCAGCGGGGTTAAGCATGTTGCTGTCAAGAGATTTTGAATTGGAGCTAATAAAAGGTGTGAAGATTGGTTCAGGTATTGTGGTGTTTACTCACTAACAGTTTGCAGATGACTCCATATTATTTTGTGAAACTAATTGAAGTAAGAAATCTGAAGAGGATATTGAGTTGTTTTGAAGTTCTTTCATGTTTAAAGATTAATTATCATAAAAGTGTAGTGTGTGGAGTGAGAGTAATAGATGAATCTATGATTGAGTTCGCAATCCTAGTAGAAAAGCAACATGGAGACCTGTCTTGGATAAAGCTAGAAGCAAATTAGCAGGTTGGAAAAAGAGATTACTCACATTTGCAGGGAGACTTAATAAAAGCTGTAATTTCTTCTTTGCCTATGTACTATCAATCTTTGTATAAGATGCTTCAAGAAGTAGCAAGAGAGTTTGAAAAGATTCAGGCCTCATTTCTCTGGGGTAGGTATGAGTTGAGGAAAAAGATGCACCTAACTAATTGGCAGGAAGTATCAAAGCCTGTTAAGCAAGAGGGACTGGGGGTTAGGAGATTGAAGGAGGTCAATGATCGCCTTTTAATGACATAGTAGTGAAGGTTTGGAATTGAGATTAAAGCACTTTGGAGAAGAGTTATATGCTGCAAATACAAGGTGGATGAGGGTAATTGGATGCCTAAGCTTAGCTCCATTAGTAGCAGCTCTAAAATTTGGAAGGACATAGTAGCAAGAATTGATCAGAGCAATAGTCTTCTAAGGGTTTTTTTTTTTTTTTTTTTTTTGGAGAATTGTAAGATAAAAGTTGGTAATGGTCATAAAGTGAAGTTCTTATGTGACAAATGGTGTGAAAACACTTTTCTAAAAGAGGAATTCCCACTTCTATATAGATTGGTAGTTAACAAGGGAGAGTCCCTAAATTCAATAATCGCATGGAAGGAGGGTACAAGAGAGTGGGTGTTTCAATTTAGAAAGGAGTTGTATGACTGGGAAAATGTGGAGGTTACTAGAACGTTAGTCTTTTTAGAGGCAACCTCTGCAATCAGGTCAAACATAGAAGATATACTGGTATGGGCAACCTAAAAAATAAGTATTTTTACAGTCTTATTTGTGTACAAATTTCTAGCAGCTGGGTTTGGTAATCACTTTTCAACCAGTAAATTGGTGTGGGTGAAGTACATTCCCCCACAGAGTTCAATTTTTTGGTTGGCTTGCTTGAAATGGCAGACTAAAGACAACAGATTTCCTCATATGAGTTAGTGTTCTTGCCGTTAATGCATCATCCCTATGTATTTTTTGCAAATCGAAGATGAGTTATTTAATCACGTGTTAATGTATTGCCCAGTTGCATGGAGAGTTTGGTCAGGGATACTAAAGTGGTGTGATGTGCAAGGTGCATTACCAGACTCAGTAGAGGCACTTCTTAATTGGTGGGCAAGGGAAAGGCTCGACAAAAAGGAGAGAATGATGTGGAAAGCATTACTTATTGCTGTGTTGTGGTCTCTGTGGAAATATCGAATGCATCTTCAAGGATACTAATCCAACTATGGCAGGTGTTTGCAATCTGATAAAAGCTAGGATTGCTCTTTGGTTCAAAGAAGTGTTTAAGGATCATCACTTCACAGTTCACGACTTCCTATTCAACTTGAGGCAAATTAGAAATTGTTTGTCTAATGGTAGAAGGCAAGTGGATTAAGGCTACTAGTTTGAGTCAGTGTTGTTATTTGGTTCCCTATTTTTGGGTGTTGTTTGGTATCAAGTGTTTTTTGTTGTTGTCTCGGTTGGTTGGTATCTTATCATCTTGGTAAACCGGCCAAATCAGAACGAGTTGAAACAAACCAGACCGATTTGCTATATATGGTCCAATAATAAAAAAAAAATAATAAAAAAAAATTGATACTATAAGCAGTGAAACTCAACATCTCAAGCTCTAAAGAGCATGAATTTTCATTTTGTCACCATGGCTTTTTGCTAGTATATACGAGATATATAATATTTATTGTATTCAAAGAAATTTCTTAAACTCATGAATAATTAATATTTTTGCAAACAATATTAATATAAAAAATATATATAACCATAAAAACTTGACAAATATATATATATATATATCTTAAATTATACAAATATTTTAAATGAATGTACTTTATTTATTTTTAAATTATAAAAATATTTATATAATAATTATGATGTCACGATTTGATTTTGATTCAATCTAACAGTTAAACAGATAATTCTTCTACCCGATCTCTTTTTCAATTTACTCACCGATTCAATTTTAAAACATACCGATCCGAAAAGCAATTGGAGACAAGCTGATAATAATAATAATAACCTCCTCATGGGGCATATGAAAAGTTAACCTAGCTACTTCTAACTTCAAACTAATTAGAGAAGTAGTTATAATTTTACAAACAACCCAGCAAATCGCATTCAAGGATAAGAAGATGGCAGAACAGCACCCCAGCAGTAGGGCGGCATCACCGGATTGAGTTCGTCTACATTGAAAACATAGTTTCCGTGAGCCATCTGTGGGTGACTTGTTCCACCATGTCTGCTAGAGCTCCGGTTTCCCACCGATGTGCTCTCCACCGTCTCTTCACCAGAGATTTCTGTGTGACCTGCGGAGGCTTGAATGTTCTTCATGGCTTGGTCCTTCACCATAGCTTTCAATGCCGAAACCTTTTTGTATCATACACAATTTCAATTAGGAAAATTTAATGGTGGAAGAATAATCAATAACTTCAGCTGACTCTGCTTGTAAACGGTAAGATTATTCGTCCAAATTAGTCGGATAAAAATAATATTGATTTTAGAATTATTAGAAGGGAGTTTGTTTTGATAAATTCTCTTTCTAAGAGTTTTATTTCATCCAACTCATATTGCTTTTGACTATTTCATTAGGTCCTATTTGAGGTAAGAAGACTAAAACATCCTTAATCTCTCCTACCCTCTATTAATGTTGATTGTCATTATGTTTTGATAGTTCTCATGCATTAAGATGTTAACTATCATTATATTCATATTAATTTGAAATAAATTTTTATCATTATATATTCAATTACATAATGTGAATATTCACATCATATAATTGAAAAGAATATTCACATTATTATTTTCACATTAATTTGAAATGAATTTTTGACATTGTGTTAATTACATGATATGAATATCCATACTAAAACATATGAATGTGAATGTTCATATCACTATCTTAAATGAGAGTGAATGTTCATATCACTACATGTTGTGAAAAAAATGTATTGTCAATTGAAAATATAATGAACGCTGTTTTAATGTGTTGTCAATTAAAAATAAGAAGGTTCACATGTTGTGAACGTTCACATCACTACATTAGATGAGAGAGAATCTTTCAGAAAGGTGTTGTGAACATTTATATGAGATGAGAGAGAATGTTTACATTATTTTTAATGTGTTATCAATTAAAAATATATTCACATTATATAATTTGTGTATAAAATTTCTTATGCCTAGGTCCTTTCCCATCTCTCTCATCTCTCAACATTAAATATCAATATTAAATATAAGAGTATAAAAGTCTAAGAAAATAATTTAAACCAAGAAAAAAAACTTTATAGAATAAAAGTATAAATATATGAGATTAAATGAATTAAAAAATTTATTCATAAACTTTTAAAATTAAAACACTTCTAAATAAAATTTTTCAAAAAAAAATCCTTTAGAAAGGAAGCAAGAGTAATATATTATGTAACCTGTGCATGGGCTGCATGTGGATGGCGAGAGAGTGTGTGTTGTACGAATCATATCTAACCAATAATACTGTGATGTTGATATTTCTATGTTGGTAAAAAGTTAATTTTTGATTTTTTCAATCGAAAGAGTTAACTTTTTTACCTAAGATATTACTCAAAAAGTTAGTTTTTTTTGGTTAAAAAAAGTTAAAAGTTAGTTTTTTATTAACTTCTCAAAACATCATCAGTGTATACCCGTGCCTTTATTAAATAAGTAAAAAGAAAATAAATTAAATAAATATGAAGAAAAATAAAAAAGGAGAGAAAATAAAAAATAAAATAAAAAGAAAATGAGGAAGGTGTGGGATCGTGGGATCATTTATGGAATTATTCATGAGATCATGAGAGGGTGGGTGAGAAAAGAAAAAAGTAAAGGAGAGATGTCGGAAAGTAAAATACATCACAGCCGTTGTTTTGTAGTTTGAACAGATCTGAACTGTCCAAATATCCTAATAAGACAAATATGTAAAGGATAAATTTAAAAACTATCCTACTTTATTATATAGATTTTTTTTTTCAACAAATATAGTTGTAAGACTGGCTAAATTAATATAGTAATGACACATAAAGTAATAAATAAAATATATAAATTATTTAGTTTTATTTTCAGAATGTGTTTTCTAGGCGTTTTTTTATTATTCACTAAATAGATAAAGTTTATTTTTGCCCAAAATAGATAAAACTATACAAAAAAGATAACTGTTTTTTTATTAAGAAAATTTATCTATAAATCTCATCCTGAGGAATGGTGATCCATGTAGTCCGAAGTATTTTTTTTATAGATTAGTTAGTCCCATTGATTTTAGACATGTAAATTTAATATATTCTTTGAAATTTGAATTTACGGTTATATTCTTATTTCCATTATGTTTCATTTTATTTTTTTTTTTGGGTACGAAAAAGGTTATACACAACCTAATATAGGAATTTTTTTAATTGAAATGTTTGAAATGTGAAAATTTTCAAACATTTCAACATTAATACATAAACTCCTTAATAAGTTTTGGATAAATATTTAATTTCAAATTGTGGGGTTTTAATTTGGAATGGCTTGAAAAGTAATATTTTTTTAAACATTCCAAAAGGAATACAAAAATCCCTTAGTAAGTTTTGGATAAATGTATAATTTTAAACTGTGAGTTCGAAATGACTTGAAATGTGAAAATTTTCAAACATTCTAAAAAGAGCACAAAGACCCCTTAGGCAAGTGTATAATTTCAAACTGTGGAGTTTTGAACTGGAATAGCTTAAAATATGGGATTTTGCAAACATTTCAAAAAGAGTATAAAAACCCCTTAGTAAGTTTTAGACAAATCTATAATTTTAAACTGTGGAGTTTTGATTTAGAATGACTTGAAATATGTGATTTTTCAAATATTCCAAAAACGTACAAAAATCCTTTAGTAAACTTTGAACAAATGAGTAATTAACTAGCATCCACAAGTATAAATTGTAGATTCATACTGTCATTTCCACACAAATAAAACCATTGGATTCATTAAATTATTTGGAGTACATATTGGTTAATAAGATATGGAAATGACATTTATTGATACTTATTCCTTTTTATTACTATCAAATTTTTTTACCAAATTAGTTTTAGGTATTTTTGTGAGTATGTTAAACTAGTTAAAAGATTGTTATAAGTTGTCACATTATTATTTTTTTAATACGTTTTCTTTTGTAAAAAATTAAAATTGTCAATTACCAAATCAATTCTTGGGTTTTTTTAACATTTTTTTTCCCAAAGATTTGAACTTAAGAGACTGTTTGGAGCTTCGACGATCCGAAGGATTTATTTAATAGGGTCATTTATTTATATATATATATATATATCACTTGGGAAAAAAAAATTAAATTGATTCAGTAACCGTAATTTGAATGTGAGAACCAAACCAAACGGAATGTATAAGAAAACAAAATTTACCTCATCTTGGAGCTTCTGTTTCTCCCTAGAAACAGAATCGAATTGGAGTTTGAGAGAGTCGTACAAGCGCTCGAGCTGCTTAGCCTTCCACCTAGCTCGTCTGTTTTGGAACCAAACAGCAACTTGACGAGGCTGCAGTCCCAGCTCCTTGGCAAGCTTCATCTTCCTGTCAGGATCCAGCTTTATCTCCTCCTGAAAACTACTCTCCAGTGACTCTAACTGCTCACTTGTCAGTCTCTTCTTCTTCTCATTCCCTCCTCCTCCTCCCATGTCACAATTACTGTTCTTTTCCATTCCTGAAATAGCCACCCCCGCGTGCTGCGACCCCTGCGCGGCTGCCGGGTACTTCATCTCTAGTCCTGCCAATAATTTAGAACCATTCAACAAATTTCACTCTCTTCATCTGCTTCAAGCTAGAAAAATGGCCACACTATGGTTCTTCATCACTAAGACTGTGTTTGGTTCATCACTACATTTCACTTGCGTTTCATACGCCTTTTCTTTTTTCCTTTCCAAATTCCTCTTTAAATCTATAAGTCAAACACAACCTCCATTTCAGTTTTAATACTTAAGCATGTTGTTTCTCTATATATAGGGTTGTTTTGGAAAGTATCTATTTTGGATGAATTTTTGACTTTATACAAAAATACATGTACAAAAATAGAGAGAAGAGTTAACTTTTTTATAGTGATTTTTGTGACTTTTTGACTAATTTTGTGTGCAACTATGCTACATCCCTTAATATAACACCATAATTTTAATCCCTAATGAGGTGGAAGAGAGGGAATAAAGAGAGATAGAGAGAGGATGGATAAGGAGTGTGGGTCTACCCTTTCACAGGATCTCTATTCCATGTTATTAGGGATAGATTGAGAGCATTTTTCTTTTGTGTGTGGCCAAAACAACCCATAGTCTTTACACAGATGGTTTGTGAGTCATTGCGTGTATTCGGACTTTTGTATAGGAATGAGTTCTATTAAATTGTTGATCATTAACTCATGTAAAACTGTAAGAAAAATAGACAATTTTATTATTTATGTTATATTATCAATAGTTTCAGAGTAATCCTATTTTAAAGATATTTCTTAGAAAAATAGACAATTTTATTATTTATGTTATATTATCAATAGTTTCAGAGTAATCCTATTTTAAAGATATTTCTTCAAATAATATCTATCTATGTGTTTGGAGGACAGTGAAAAATTGGAGTTCACGGGAAGGTCTGAACTACGGAATAATGTTTTATGTATATATATTTTATTATTTTATCTTATTATTTGATATGATGATTTAATTTATTTTTTTTTTATCAGTAAAGAAAATTTTTATTAACAACATAAAATTAAAAATACAGATATATGTTTGGAGGACAGCGAGAAATTTGGAGTTCACAGGGAGGTTTGAACTACGGAATAATGCTTTATGTATATATATTTTATTATTATTATTTTATCTTATTATTTGATATGATAATCTAATTGTTAATGTTATATACATGAGTGATGTGATATATTATATTAATATATTATGTTGTCAAGTAAAATAATAAGTATAATTTAATATAAAAATATAATAAACATAGTATTAAATGTTTGAGTTTTGAAAAGATTTAAGGTTATGTTCTATTATGAATTTATTAAAAGAAAAAAGAGAAAGAGGAAAGTGAAAAAAATGATATTGAACCGGAAAGTGATACAATCGTACAAGTATCTAGATTGAGAAAAACTTAGATAACTATAAGAAATACCTATGAAGAAAATTGATATACTGTCACAATATTATCATTATGATTGAAATCAATATATATATATATATATTAGCAATAAATTATGAGTGACATATTTTCCACTGAAGTTGCATCCTCTTAACACATCAGAATCAAATCAATAAAAAAAAAATAAAAAAAATAAAAAAAAAACAACAACAACAACAAAAAAAAGAGGGGTTTTAGAGTGTGTTATTACCTGGATAGTAGTCATAGTTGTAGTTGTAGAGGAAGCTTGAGGAGTTCTCAGGCCGAGAAACAAAAGGGGGTCTTAGGTTTCCCATATTCCAATCCATATTTTTGGATACTCTCTCTCGCTCTTTTTCTTTACTATTGGGAGTATTAACCCAATTCCAATATATGGGTCTTCTTCGAGTAATTTAGTGCTTTGGACCACAAAGCCAAAAACAGTGTATGTGTGTGTGTACAACTAGAGAGAGAGAATTGAGCTTGGTGGTACAACACAAAAGTTGGTAAGGCTTCCTAGCTAGTTATGTTTTGGGGTGCAACAAAGTAGAATTGGGGAAGATAGTTGTGAGAGATTGGAGAGTGTAAGGTTTCCTATCTAGTGCAACAAAAGTGAAGACTGAGAAAGAGACAGATACTGTGTGAGTCACTCAACCTATATATAAAGGCTGAGTTTTTGGGTGCAACCAGTGATTAGTATGAGAAAGTTGAATTCAATCCTGCAAGTTTTGGGTGCAACAAAATGAAGTTTGAGAAAGAGAGTTTGTAAAGTTTGTCGTCTAAACCTCTCTTTTGGGTGCAATGAAACCAGTGAACAGTTTATATGAGAGAGATAGGGAGAGAGTTGTCGGTTGGGTGGGGGAGAGAGAGATGGAAATAAGGAATGAAAGGTCACAATCTGGTCCCCCATAAACCTGCCAATATTGCCTCCTCTTTCTTTCTCACGCCTTCACTCTCCTCCCATTTACAGTACTACTATTAGTTCACCCTAGTACTACTGTTTCACTTCCTTCTCACTGGGATTCTCTCTTCTGAATTTCTCTCTCTTCCTATCTAAAAATTTATAGTCGATATTGAATGATGTATAATTAGAAAGGCGAAAAGCTATTATTAAAAAGTTAATTATTCTTTTTATTTTATACATTTCTTTCATAAAAAATTAAAAGTAACTTAGTTGTTTAGTCTTCTGGTTTGTCAACCTAGTTACAAATCTCATTTCAATGATCAAATCCGTTTGTTGTAAGACCTTTTGTATAGATTAGTAGAAAAAAAAAATTAAATTGATTCTATAATTATAATTTGTGTAAATTACACAGTTGGCCATGTATGTTTTGGGTGATAGAGGAAGAGATTGAATTATTAGTGAGGTGGAAACTAGGAAAATCATGTTTGCTTGGAGAAATGATAATAGTTTTATGGGATTAGAAATACCTCCCAGTGAGGGAACTAGAAATCTCATGGTGGAGAAGGTATTCAAATATGGAAAATCCCAAGAGATAAAGATAAGATAAGAGATATAATTACTATTTGTCCCTCATTTTAATATTAAAATATAATGGTATAATAATATATTGATAAATTATAAATACATCCTTGATATTTATTTAAAGTACAAATTGTCTCATGTGGTTTGAAAAATTACAAATATCTCATTATTAGAATTTTTTATTTAATAGAATTAACTAACAAAAATAAAATATATAATTGCTCTCCTATACAATAATAAAATTACCTAAATTATTAATTGAAATATATTTCTAACATCATTAAAAACTGTTAATTGACTTGATGATTTATTAATAAAATAAACAATTTGTTATGAAATTAGAAATCTCAAGGGGTGAAATGTAATTTCTAAAACTACCGGAGACAATTCGTATTTTAATCAAATATTAAGGGGTGTATTTGTAATTTACCCAAATATATTTATACCCAAAAAAAAAAAATATATATATATATATATAAAATGAGGGATTTGGTCAAAACCCCCCTCTCGTAATAAAATTTTAATGCATTAAAGACAAGTACAAAAAGTTTTCTTTGAAAAATTTCAACACATATCATTATTATCAAATATTAAGTTTTAAAATAATATAACTTTTGATATAAATGTCAGTTTTTAATAAAATTAGTATTTTTAGAATCATTTCATCAAGATCTATCAAATAAAATCTATGTTGACTATGAAATTCTTTTTTTTTTAAAAAAAAATTTATTACCGTCGAAATTGATATAAATAGTAATAGTAACATGTTATTCTGTTTGACAGTAATATGTTACTCTATTTGACAATAACATATTACTCTAACAATATTGTTCAAGGAAAAAATATATATTTTTTTTTATTTTGTCCTTACTCAATTATTTATTTTCTCCATAGAGGATTAATGAAGCAAGATAAATTGGGCTGTCCTTTTCACCAAATAAGGATCTAATGGAAGGATTTTGGCTAAATTTCTCTAATAAAATATATAAAAACACCAAGGGTAGTTATGAAATTTCATATAACTAATCCTATCATAAAATAGCAAAACAAACAAGAATTGTTACTAGTCTACTGGTTGCTTAACAAATACAATTTTTCTTAATCTTCCCATTAATAATATTTTCACTAACAATGCTCACATTAACAATCATACCCAACCTAACTCTAAAAACAAATAGGCCCTTCAACATTTAAAAAAAATATAGTTAGTCTCACATTTTTTCCATAATTACAAAATGCATTGCTCAAGGTTTTAATTTATATAATATTTGGGTCCTTTTTTTATCAGTAATTTATAAGTTGTATGAATAAAAAAAAATAATATTTTCATATCTTTTCTACTAAAATACATATTTACCTTTATTTATTTTAGTGTTTCTTACTATTAATTTTGATCGCTTTAAACTTACTGAAAGGGAGATTTTTTTTTATCAGCAAAAAAAGAACTTTATTGATGAAAGAGGCATAGAACATGCAAAATTACATCAACAAAGCAGGGGAGTGCAGAGAGCATCATAGCTAAACTTAACAATCCCAACTAGGTTGGCACCGCAAAGAAAGCGCAATCATATGCTAGCACTCGACCCGGGATTGGTGAGAAGCCAACCAAGGGCACCCAAAAGAGGGAGCCGAAAGCAAAAAGCAAAACCTAAGAATCCAGCAGACCAACCCAACTAACAAGCAGAAACAACCCTGCAACAACAGTGACCTCAACTGATAACCTCTTCTGATATCCTCAACCCAACAACAGTAACATCACAATAGAACAGATTAACCTCTACTGATACACCTTCTAATCTGAGGGAGATTGAAGACAAAATCATGAATAGGATACTGCCACTGCTTAGAAGCTGTACTTAACCAAAGAGCCATTCTATACTTAACTAGATCAGAGAGAATCTCAACATCAGCTACTGCGTTATTGAATACGCAGTCATTTCTTTGCTTCCAAAGAGACCAAAGGGTTACAAGAGGGATACATCTCCAAATCACCTTCTCTCTCTTCTGAAACTTACCACCCTCCCACCACTGAAACAAACAATCAACTGAGCCAGGCATTGCCCAAGATAGACCCCACCAATCAAGCAAGGACGACCAAACCAACCACACAAAATGGCAATGAAGGAGCACATGTAACACCGACTCCTCATCATGCTTACAGAAGCAACACAGGGTAGAAGTTCCTCCAGGGAGGACCGCTATCTTCTGAAGGAACACAGAGGTCTTAATCTTATGCTTCCAAGCGAGCCAGCCGAAAAACTGGACTTTAGGGGGTAAAACCTTATTCCATAGCATTCTAGGAGCTCCCAGTTGATTTCCAACTCCACTGGAACAATGCTTATACAGAGAGGCTACTGAAAAGAGACCTGATGATGTGGCTGACCACTTAGGGTAATCAACTCTCTCCAACCTAAATAAGGGACCAGGAGAGATAATAGAGACCAGTCTCAGCAAATCAACTCTTTCCCCAGTCTCAGCAAATCAGCTCTTTCCCATTCAAACAACTCTCTTCTGAATAATAGGTTCCACTCCCCTGAGGATGCCTTTAGATCAACAAAACGTCTAAGAGTACCTTTCTTTTCTTTTGACAAGCTGAACAGCCTAGGAAATTCAACTCTCAAACAGTGGCCATCACACCACAAATACTCCCAAAAACTTATTCTACAGCCATCTCCCACCTGCACGCTGAAATTATTACAAAAACACTCCAACATTGAGGGGTAAAAAGAGGCCAGTGATGTAATATCTCGCCATAATTTTGACTGCTTCCAGCTATCTCCAGAAATCGGCAACCAGCAGCACTCATCAATGTTGTACTTACTGCAAATTACTTTTCTCCACAAAGCTTTTGACTCACAAGCAAACCTCCACCACCACTTCAGTAACAAGCAGGAATTAGCAACTCTAACCTTCCTAACACCCAATCCTCCATTTTTAATACTATTGGTAACCTCCTCCCATTTGACTAGATGAACCTTCCTTTTGAGATCCGAGCCACCCCATAAAAAAGCTGCTTGGATTCTTTCAAAATCCTTAGCCACACCCTCCGGCATTCTAAATAGAGATAAGTAGTAAACTGGTAAGCAAGAGAGAGCAGACTTAATCAACACCAACCTACCCGCAAAGGACAACATTCTCCTCTTCTAACCTGCCAGCCTAGCCTTAACTTTCTCAAGAACTGGAGTCCAGGACTTCCTTTTGCTAGGACTAGCCCCCAGAGGGAGCCCAAGATAACTCAAAGGTAATGAGCCAGTCTTGCAATTCAGCTTGGCAACCAGATCAACCAGGGCAACAGAATCCACTCCTACTCCGCAAACCACACTCTTGTGATAATTAATTTTCAACCCTGATACTAGTTCAAAGCAACGAAGGATCCTTTTAACATTGACTATTTCCCCTTCATCAGCCTCACAGAATAGGATAGAATCATCTGCAAATTGCAAATGAGACACCAGAACATCATTAGCCCCAACCTTAACACCCTTGATTAAATTCAACTCTAAAGCTCTGGACAAGAGGACATTCAGGCATTCTGCCACAATAATGAATAGAAAGGGAGAGAGGGGGTCACCCTGCCTTAGTCCTTTTTGGGGAGAGAATTCTTCAGTTGGAGAACCATTCACAAGGACCGAAAGCCTAGCAGTGGACATACATTCCTTAATCCAAGCAATCCACCTTTCACCAAACCCGAATCTGGACAACATAGAGTAGAGGAATTCCCAATTGACAGAATCAAAGGCCTTTTCAAAATCGAGTTTCAAAATCACACCCTTCCTTTTGACTTTTTTCCACCCATCAACAACCTCATTTGCTATAAGGACTCCATCCAGAATATTCCTGCCACGAAGGAAGGCGGATTGAGCTTCGCTAATTATTTCGGGCAAAATCTTACTAAGTCGACATGACAGCACCTTTGATAAAATTTTGTACAGAGACCCTACAAGACTTATGGGCCTAAAATCTTCCAACCCCCCTGCATTCTCTTTTTTAGGCACTAAGGTTATAAAAGAGCTATTGATGCCTCTAACCAGTTTACCATGGGTATGAAATTCCTTCATAAATTGGATCACTTCCCCTTTCATCAACTTCCAATGCTTCTGAAAGCATAAAAGGTTAAACCCATCGGGGCCTGGAGCTTTGTTCCCATCGCAATTTTTTATGGCCTCCCATAGTTCTTCTTCTGCAAATTCTGCTTCTAGCATTTCGAATGCATGACTATTCCTAACAGATCTGAAAACACCATCGAGGGATGGTCTGACTTTCCAATCCTCTGAGAAATGCTTCTTAAAGTGATTACACACTTCTAGTT